TTATTTGAAAAAGAATCAAAATAACAAAAGTGATCAAAACAAAAAAACTTTGAATATTTTAACAGAAAAATTAAAAAACTTTAAATATTTTAACAAAAAACAACAACATTTAAAAATTCTTCATAAAAATTTCTTAACTGATTTTATAAAAAAATTTTAACCCCAAATTTCAAATGGTACAAGCATCAGAATTGAGAAAAATGAACAGTGAAGAATTGAAGGAACATGTCAAAGAGCAGTTGTACGAGAAACAGAAGTTTTTACAACAAAAACATTCTAAAAAAGTACAACCATTTGATATTCGTAGGGTAAGAAAGGAAATTACAAGAACAAAGCAAATTCAATATGAAAAGAAACTTGAAGAATTTGTAGAACAATACAAGACTAGCAAATTTATTCCTAAAGAGTTGAGACGTAAATTGAATAAAGCTAAGAGGTTGGCATTAACTGATGAACAGAAAAACAAGATGTCAAGAGCAATGAGATATCAAAATATGAAGTATCCAAAGAAAGTTTATTCTTTTAATCCTTTAAAATAAATTTTTTAAAATAATTTAAAAATTTTATTAAAAAATAAATGAGCAAGTCCCAACTGAATGTAAATTCGCTACTTTCAAATTCAACAAGTTTTTTAGGACCGGCAGCATTAGAAAAGAGTTTAGAATCAGTAAGAAAAGTTATAGATTCAATAAAGACATCATTTGGACCACTAGGACTTGATAAGATGTGTATAGATGCATCAGGAGACATATTTATATCTAATGATGGAGCAACGATAATATCAAATATGACAATTGATGATCCAATCTGTAAGATGTTAGTAAATTTAGCGTTAGAGCAGGATAAAGAGGTTGGAGATGGTACAACATCAGTTGTGTTATTTGCATACTATTTGATAGAAGAAGCCTATAACCTGATAAAGAACTATAATATTCATCCTTCAGTGATAGTTTCAGGATACAGAGAAGCATTTAATAAAGCAGTTGAGTTTATAAAAAATAAAATGATAGTAAAAATTGATGGACAACCAGATATTATAAGTGCTATAGTAAAGACGAGTATATCATCTAAAATCATAGGAGAAGAAACCGAAATGGTAACAAGTTTTATACAAAACATAATAACAAGAAATCATTTAAATGACTCATTGAAAGTTTCTAAGTATTTAGGAGGTTCTATAAAAGATTCATCACTATACAAAGGAATGATACTTAATTGTCCAAAAGCTTCTCCACTTATGCCAAGTAGAATTGAGAATTGTAAGATTCTTTTGTGTGATTTGAGTATTGATAAAGAGAAGATGCCATTTTCGGTCAACATAAATGCAAGACCTGAAGATATTGAAGCCATCAGACAGAAAGAAATTGATTTAACTAAAGAGAAATGTCAAACCATTATTGATTCAGGAACTAATTTACTGTTATGTAGTGGTTCTATTGATGAATTATGTGTAAAAATGTTTATTGATCACAAAGTTGTTGCCGTTAAAAGAGTATCTAAAGAAGATCTTGAAGTCATCGCAAAGGTAACTAACAGTAAAATTCATACAAAAATTTTAGATAAGAATCAACCAACTAAAATTAATCTTTATGAAGAAATAGAATTTGGTGAATACAAATTAGGTTACTTAGATATTGACATGAGTACAATATTAATAAAAGGACCTAATAAACAAATTTGTGATGAAGTAGATCGTTCACTTAATGATGCTATCCAAGTAGCCAAAGCAGTTTTAAATCATAAATCTATATTACCAGGAGGTGGTTGTGTTGAGTCAGTATTAAACATTTATTTAAATAAGTATGCAAGTGAGTTAGTTAGTAAAGATTATGTTGCTATTCATGGATATGCAGATTCATTAAAGAAAGTAGTTAAACAACTTTGTGCTAATGCAGATGTTGATAGCGGAGTAATTTTAAGTGAACTATTCACTAGAAATTCAATTGGAATAGAAGAATCAATGTTTTATGGACTTGATTTAAATTCAGTTACTGTTCAAGATAATATTTCTCATGGAGTTATTGAACCCGCTATTTACAAGTTAAAAGCACTTAAAGCTGCTACTGAAGCTGCTATTTCTATTGTTAGAATTAATGAGGTTATAGATTTTAGTGAGAAAAAATAAAATTATTTTAAGAAAAATAACTAAATTGTTTTGATTTTGAAACAAATAAAAGAGATTTTATAATGTTTTGTATGCATCTACCAATAAGTAATTCTCATATTTTTGAATTAGACAACCTTCAGTATTTAAGTGATCCAGATCAGTTCTATAAGTTTATTTGTAAAGGGTTAAAAGAATCAAATTATGCTTATCTTGCCTGTCTTAATATTGGAACAAATAATAAATCAGTTAAATTGTCTAAGTTATTAAGAGAGAGAGTTAGAAAAAACAAATTTACAAAAATTTTAATACCAAGTGGATCATATCATAAGAGTGTTGAATTAAAAAGACTTATCAATGAAAATGGTTTAAAAAATATTATTGATCTAGTTGATACTGATACTTTATATATACTTCCAAAAATAGTTAATGACTTCTTATCAATTTTTCATATTAAATGTTTTATTTTTGATAATGAAATTTTATTAACAGGAGCAAATCTTGATGATGATTATTTCACTAATAGAGTTGATAGATACATCATCGTTAAAAATGATAAACTAAAGAAGTTTATTATTGAGGAAATATTTAAAATTAACATGAACATTGAAATGTTTAAATTAACTAATAAGGTTGATTTAAACTTAATTAATCAAAAAATAATTTGTATACCATTTAGGGAAAGTAATGAACTTAATTTGTTGAAATATCTTTTTGAATTAAATTACAGTAAACTGACTGTTTCATCAGCTTATTCTAATTTCCCAGTTGAAATAATCAATATTTTAAAGAACAAGGAATTTAATTTGTATACACCATCACCTAGTATAAACATCTACCAAAATTTTGGAATATTTAACAAAGTTGTTACTAATATTTATTCTTATTCAAATTATTACGTCTTGTCAAAATGTAAGAAAGTAAATTTATATGAGTACAACAGAAAAAACACTTCTTTTCATAAAAAAGGTATTTGGATGAGATATAAAGATTTAGCAATTATGATTGTGGGCAGTTCTAATTATAACTGTAGAAGTATTTATAAGGATAAAGAAATGAGTTATGTGTTGTTTAGTAAAAACAGTGGTGTAATTAATACGTGGGAAGGAGAGTTAAAAGATGTAAAAAAATATAGTGAGAAAATAAGTTTAAAAACTGCAAGTAAAAGACACTTTTACATTCTTACAGTAATTGTTTTTTATTTACTAACTAACTATTTATAATAAAGAATTTATTTAGTAATTATTTCATAAAATCTTTCACCACATAATTCTTTTAATTTAAGATATACAACTTCCTTATTTGGAATATTATATTTTTCTAAATAGAATAAAGCATGTTCTGGTGATTTAGAAGCAATTTGAATAAAATCATCAAATTTAAATTCACCTGAATAGTTAGGATCTGTATAAACATTACTTAAATCTATTTCGGGTGTATATTCAGTATAAGCAATTCCACACCTCTTGATTTTATCATCACCAATTTTTTTAATAAAATCACATCCAACAACATCAAACATTTCTCCAAACATTTCATCTTCTATTTCACTGTATTCATAAGAATTGAATATTAAAGATATTAACATTTTAACTAAGTTTTTATCAGTAAATTCTTTGTAATTCAAGTACAATTCATTAAAAAAGTTAGTGTTGTTTTCAAATAATTTTACAACCACTAAAAGATTATCGTGACTTAAAAAAGTTTTTAAATATTTAATAATCTCTTTAGATTCAATAAACGCACATCTCTTTACAATCATATAATTATTAAATTGAAAATTATTAAATATGTTAGAAATAATAAACTGAGATTCTGGTAAAACATTCAAATTGTTATTTAGTACATTTTTAAATATTTCTTTACTTTTAATGATATCACTTTCAAACTCTTCTTTCTCTAGTATTTTAAGTGTACTATCGTGTAAATCTGGTAATTCATTTTTGAGTCTTTTAATCAATTTTGAAATAACTATTGAACTTTCTGGTGCGTATTTAAATACCACTTCTATTGCTTTTAAAAATGTTGTTTTATCTTTTTTAACTACTTCAATACACGTGTTTATATCTTCTACTCTTAATTCAAATAATCTAATAATTGATTGTCTTAAATATTCATTTATTTTCATTGCTTTAAAAATTAATATAAAATTAATATTTTATAGAGTTAGTTAGTTTATTAAAGATATTTATTTTTAATATAAAATTTCTATTAAAAGATTCATTTAGTTTTATCTAACACAATCAAAAACATTTGTTATATTGTGGTGTTTGAGAATAACTATATTTATTTTTAAGATTATCAATCAGAATAATAAATTAATTAAAAAAAGCGTTTAATGACAACTGTTAAAATATTTATTTATTAGTAATTAGAATTTTTTATAAAAAAACCTTGGATTTTACTATTCAGATGATTTTTAATAAGTTTGATTTTTTAAAGACTTTTTAATTGAACCTTTTAAAGACTTTTATTGAACTTTTATAAAAGATTATAATAAAAACTAAATCAATATATTAAACAATAATGATTTAAAAATTTTAATAAAAAATATTGAATTTTTAAAATGATATCGCTGTTGAAAACTATAAAAATAAGAGCTTATAAGTTAGGAATGTTTTTAACTTTCATATTAGTATTGTTATTTAGTTTTCCTATAATAATATTATCATTCATTACATATTATTGTCATTCTATATCTTATCCAATCATATCGTTCTATACATATGAAGTTATAATACCAGTTGCTGTTAAATGGATTTCACTAACAGTAGACATAAGACATAGAAAGTCTTTTAAGTTATTCAAATTATCTGGAATTAATCTTTTTATAAGCAATCATTGCACATCTATTGATTCATTTATAATAACAGATTATTTAGAAGATGATAGAAAATACATTAATATTCTTCATAAGAAATCAGTAATGTTTATACCCGTAGCTGGTCAAATACTCAAACTCTTGAAATTTTGTACTATTTCAAGAAACTTTACTGAAGATATTAGCGTAATAAGAGACTATTTAAAAAACATCACCAAATCAATGATCAGTTCTTATATTTTAATTTACCCTGAAGGCACTAGAAAAACTTATCAAAAACAAAGAGAGTCAAATGAATTTTGTAAATTACGTAATATCAAACCTTTTAACAATGTTCTTTGTCCCAGATACAAAGGGTTTAAAGAATTAATGAATGGAATATATCAAGTCAATCAAAATGCCAAACTTATTGATTTAACTTTAAAATATTCCAAAAGTGTACCAAGTTTTCTTGATTGTATAATTGGAACAAAAAGTTTTACAGTTGATATTTATGCAAATGTTTTTAAGATTGGTGACATCAGTGACCCTAAAACATTTCTTTTTGAGAGATTTAGATTGAAGGATGTGATTTTAAAATAAAACAAGATTTTATTAATTTTCTTTGTCATCATCTTTATATTTGTGATAGTAATATTTCTTATATGGAATGTTTCTTATACTTTTATAGTTTTTAGGTTTAGTAAGTTTGTTGTGGTGTGTTTTAATAAAATGTCTATACCAACTATAAATGTATTCCCTGCTAATTGAACTTAGATCTATCCAATCTTTACAAAACATACAGTAACCTTGAATGAGTCTGGATTTAATTCTTGTGATGGGATCAAGTATTTTTTTATAATTTGAACATATTCCATGTTTATAATTCATGTGATACCAATATGAACTTGTTCTTAGTTTGAACCACTTCTTACATATTTCACACAATCCTTCTCTGTCTTTACCCTCATATCTAATTGATTTAGGCTTGTATTGTGCCTTTTCTAATCCATTCTCTTTCTCATTGTCATTCAATCTGCTTTCAGAAGTATAAGAAGTGCAATCTGAACAATCGGAATAACATTCAGTCTCACTGGAATAACCAAAATTAATTAATTCACCTTGTATTCTTTTAGGATTATTCATGCATTATATTCAATGCATTTTTAAATACTTACACATTTTGTTTGCTAAAAGAAACAAATTATTTTTGGTAAAAAATAATTATTTTATTGATATAAGGAATTTACATGTTGCTTAGTAAGAAATTCATCTAACATATTATTTAATTCATCACTATTCTTATACTTATATTCAATTCTTAACTTAATAATAGATATATAAGCTATAATAAGTAATAAACTAACAAGACTGGAATTAATTATAAGTATTTTACAAAACTTATTCATTAAATTAAAAATTAAATAATTTTTTAAACAAATTAACTTACTATTAAATAACTTATTATTAATAACTTACTATTATATAATTATTAATTTACTATTAAAAAATTAACTATTTTGAAATAAAAGAATTTTTTAATTTTAAACTTAAAAAGGAATTAAAATTTTAATATGTTAAATTAAAAACAGATAAAACAGTAAAAAAACAGAAAAATCAATAAAAGTTTTAAAGAAAAATTTTATTTGCTAAAAACAAATCTCATAATAAACTTTACCCCTTTCCCTCTTAAATTAAAATAAAAACAAACTTAAACCCAAGCCCTTGAATATGCAGAAGAAAGATAAAATAAAAAAAGATCATTTGTTTGATACTATTGAGCACAGTGTTACAAAAATGGATAATGAATATGGTGCTAATTTTATGGAATGGATAAAGAATGAACAGAACTGCAAATTAATAGGATCTCATCTTAAAAAATATATAAACTTATACAGAGAATCAAAAACAATTACAACCATCAAATGGATTTCAGCTGATTGGACATTAAGGAGTATAATTTTACTAACAAGAGTGTTGTTATTGGATCCTCCTAAATCACTCAATGAAAGTGATCATACAAAATATAAAAAATCAGTGCCAAGAATAATGTTTGGATGTATTTACACCTGGAATCCAATTTTTATAGGAGAATATTTATTGTCAGTTACAAGTAGTTTAAATAATAGTGAGAAAAGTGAAATTTTATATCAAATATTAAATGAGTTTAATTCAGATAAGTTAAAGGCAATATTAACTGTCTTAGATAAGAAATGTAATAAGGAATTAAAAATTTTATTATTAAACAAATTCAAAAATAGAATTTACATGAACAATACTGATAAATGGGAAAGAACTGATAGTTTTTTAGATGCAATGAAATTTCTTTAAATAACTAACTCTATAAAATAAATTTGAATTAAATAACTTCTCTGTTAATTTATAATTTTTATTAATTTTTTAATGAACAAGTTAAACACTCAACAAATACTTGAAGATTTAATTAATCGAAATGAATTGTTATCTTTCAGTTTTTTATTGAATAACACTGATGATGAATATAAACAAATGAGATTTAACTGTGGTAGAAGTGGATTGGAACTATTTGCTATTTCCTGTGAAAATCAGGGTAATTATAAAGAGGCATTTACTTTACTTGTTTGTAAAACTTTTAATAATAAAACATTAGTATGTAACTGTTGCAATAATGTTATTCAGTATGTTAGAATGAAGAATTACTTAAAGGTTTATGATCAAGTTGAACTAGATGAATCTAATTATAATGATATTTATGTTTTATATTTGGTAGGCAAGTATAAAAAGAAAGTAGAATTGTTATTTAAGGTATTAGAGAAGATACCAGTATTTTATGAGTGTATGTTAGAGATAGTGTGGAATATTGAACATCCAAGTGAGAATGAAGACATTTATATGGTTAATTTTCACGTTATAGGAAGTAATGAGATTTTAAGAAAATTTCTATTTATAGAAAGATCTATTGATATTAAATATTATTTTAACAATGAAATATTATTAGATACTACAGGACTCAAGGGTGATGATATTACATTAACAAACATAACATATAATCATCTTATGAACGTCGTGGATGATCATGATATGGAATTAAATTTAATGTTAGTAGATAATACATATTTAGCATTTACAGGATTGAAATATTATATTAACAATGATGAATTAAAATTGTATCAATTAAAGTTAAAGTATGATAATCAATTAGTGGATGGTATATATAATGCCTTAAAAAAGAAATATGATATTGCAATAGAATGTTTTAAAAATTATAATGGCAACAAATGTAAACCATACATCTATTCATGGATAGGAAAGATGTATGAGTGTCTAGAAGATAAGAGTAATGCACACTTCTATCTAAATAAAGTAGAAGAGAGTAACTGTAATGCAATGATAGGAGTGATCTCATCCTATTATACATTAGGATTTTATAATGAGACGATGTTTTATTCAGTTAATCAAATATCTAAGTATAATTCACTAGACAAACCACAGTTATATAAATTTATAGGAAGAGTATATTTAAAGTATAATGATTATAGAAATGCAGTAATATACTTTAAGAAAGCAATAGAAATGAATGAGACAGACAGTTACCTTTACTTAGCAGAAGTATATAAACTTGATAATAACAAAGAGAAAGTAATAGAATGTTACAAGAGTTATTTAGAATGTCCAAATTTACCAATTAAAAATAAAGAGAAAATAATTCTTTATCTAATTCATCACTTTGAGGATGTTAATGAGCAATTAAGCATTTATTATAAGAATTTATTATCTAATTTAAAATAAATTTACATTTTAAATAAAACTTCTAAAATGCTCACTGTTAAGTAAATTACTATAAAAAGAATTATTAATACTAAAAGCCATTCAGGTATAAAATTTAAAGATTTATAAAAAAGACCCATCATTGTGTATATGATTACATTAAAATAGGAAAGTATGATTGAGTAAAGTGATGTTGGTGGGTATTTAAGTATACTAAACCCATTAGAATCATCTATCTTCTTAATTAAGTCATTTCCATCAATGGGATTTAAGACAAAGTATTGATTATCTTTCTTTAAGATAAAGGCAGGGAATTTATACTGATGAAATCTAATAGCTAATAACTTGTTAGTAGCAAAGTTTAAATATTTGACTTTTACATTTACATTCTTTAAATATTCTTTATAATATTCACACGCACCACAATTGAATGTTTTATCTTTATAGTAAATAAATACCAAATAATCCTCATTTAGTTTAAGATCGTCTATTGAAATAGTTGAATCATCCTTTTCAAAGAAAAATGAGGAAATGTAAATTCTTAACAATCCGTACATTTTTATGAATTAATTTTTTATTAAATTTTTTAACCCATAAAACTTAATAAATGACAAAAATTGAAAAGTTGTTGAGCACAGAACACGTAACAGATTTGCACAAATGTCTTAAATATGTTCCAGGTGAGTACTATAAGATAAAAGTTTGTTTGATTGGTGATGGTGGAGTTGGTAAAACTACCTATATTAATAGAGTATTAAACGGTATGTTTACTAGAAAATATGAAGCTACTGCTGGTGCAGTTATTAAGAATTTAGTGGTAAACATTAATGGTGATGCTCAAATTGAATATCAGGTGTGGGATACAGCTGGTCAGGAGAAACACAAGGGTCTTGGAGATGGTTATTATGTAAAGGCAGCTGGTGCTTTTATATTTGCTGATGCTACAAGTAGAGAGACTATCACTAATCTTCCTAAATATTTAAATAGCTTCACTTTAGCTAACGGTAAAGCAAATCCATGTCTGGTTGTTTGTCTTAATAAGATTGATTTAGTTAAGAATGCTGCTACTGAAAAAGCTGTTTTTAGAGCAGTTAAAGAATCAAATAATCCTAATGTGAGAATTGTTCAGATGTCAGCTAAAAGTGGTTATAATTTTGCAGAGCCTTTTGAAATACTTACAAAACATCTCTTTGCTGATGATGTACAGTTAAGTGCTCAAATATCTTTAGAACCTTTACAAAATGACTACGATATTCTTGCTGATCCAAACGTTGATGTAAATAACTTAACTGAAGGCATTGCAGGTTTTAGAGCAGATGAATAAAATTAGATTATTTTTATTTATTTCTTCTTATTTTCTTCTTTTCATTGTTATAACTCTCCCAAGTTTCATATGCACCTTCTATTACTGTTTTTATACTTAAGTTTTCATACTTGTAATTTTGTACGTAAATCAAAGTTTTATAAAAATCAAGTCTTACTATTTTTCTCTTAAGAATTGTCAATAATGAAACTGCTACAGATATTATTCCGTCATTTATATCACTATATGTTAATAAATAATCAAAAATCAGATACCATTTATCTCCTTGGAATTCTCTTGTAAATAAACAACTATACCATCTTATTGTTAGTAAATGTATATCTATGTTATGAGATTTTAAATGGTTATACAAAATTGGATCTGTTAGTAACAACCACTTATTAGTTAATTTAGCTAAATTAGATTGAATCAAGTATAAATTATTTCTTAATTTAGAAATTAAGTTTTTATAACAACAAAATACGTTAATAATATCTTCTTCTTTTATAATTATTCCTTTGGTATGTGATGAAGATTGATTTAGATACAACTTTACAAACGGCACTAAAATATCAGTCATACCTTGAACATAACTAACCTTAGGAAAAACACAGACAACCATTCCCAATATTTGATTATAAATAAATTCTATGTTTTTATCGTTAATAAACCTACTTTCAATTGGCAATCTTTTTATATCAATATCAATTTGTTTATTTATTTCTTTATCAAGATTGTTTATCAATTTATTTAAGTATTTAAACTCCTCTTTAAGTTTGGTATCATTAAAGTTTGGAATTAAAAGTTGTTTATAAGTTGTCTTTCTATCAAATAAAGTAAACTTCTTAGTTCTTAGTTTTTTTCTTAATTCCTCTGAATCCATTTTCTGTTAAATTATTTTTAAATTTATTTTATTTCTTATTTTTTTAAGAAGGGTGTTCTAGAAGTATCACTTTTATTTATTTTCTTGGTTGACCTCTTTAACTTGTTAGATACTGTAGCTTTATCTTCTATGAGATGGTCATTGTTAATTTGATTACTGAGAGTTGTTATATTAATTGACATTACTCTTCTGGGCCCGTGGGATGTTTCTTTTATTTCTTCAACGTTTGAATCTTCTGTTATATTATCACTTGATATATCCTCACCAAATTTCTTCATTGTTTTCTTTTCTATTTTAACATCACTATCAAACTTATACTTATTACCTTTGCTTACTTTATCCATAAACGTCTCACCTGGTTCGTTTTTTTCGTTTTCTTCAACCTTTTTATCAAGCTCTTTTGCAAGTACTTTTTGGTTATTTTCATTATTAAAGATATCAACAATATCAAATATCTTAACATTTTTATTACCACCAACATATAATCTTCTAAGAGAATATTCGTTTAAGTTATCTAATGAGAGACTAATAATTCGGGATTTGGTTGGACCGAGTTTTCTGTGTAAAGCTGCACATGTTAGACAAACAAATAATCCAAGTGTAACAGAGGCCCAAGAAGGAGATGGTTTATTACAATGCGCACATTTAGAATTATATGATTTTGATAATAAATATTCTAAAAATTCTTCTTTCTTTTCTTTGTTCATTTATTATTTAAAAATTAATTTTTTCAAAACATTTGAAATTATTTCCTAGTAAGTTAATAATTCCACTTGTTTATATAATTTGTATCTAAAAGAGTGAATCCACAATATATTTTTATTGGAATATTCATTTATAAACCTTTTTATGATCTTTAAATACAGTAAAGTAATATACAATCTTATAGAATATTTTATAATTATGCTAATTTATATTTATAAGAAAAATATAATTTGTTTGTTAAATCATACAAACATTTTTTATATAAAATTAATAGTAATCATAGAATGTTCTGATAAAAACTATAAAGATACTTAGATTGTAGAAATTCAAAAATATATAAAAAAAATTACCCCCTTAATGACAAGAGATTATTATGATGGAAATGAATGGTTAAAGAAGATAATTTGTTTGCTAGTAGGATTCTTAATACTCTCATTTGGATAAATAATAATTAAAATCACTTTATTAAAAAATTTCCCTTTGTTTTTCTGTTAAAGAAGCTAATTTCAAAAAATTATTAAAATTAAAGTCATCTTCAAGTTTATAAACCAATTCTTCATTTAAAACACCTCCTCTATAAATACCTTCAACAAGCACATACTTGCTTTTATATTCTTCTAAATCTTTATATTTAACTTTAAATAAATTGTTATTAACCTTCAATGTTAAACAATCACCATCTATTTCATTTAACTCACCAATGATTGTATAAGTTTCATCATCTAGCATCACATTTGGGGATATCACAAACATTCTTATTTATGGGGTTAAAATATTTAAATAAAATACTGCATTAATTAAAAACAAATGGTCAAAGAAAACATTTCTAAAGAGAAGATAATTGAGATACTACAGGACAACAATCTAACAGAGAAAGAAATAGAAAAGGGTATTTCAGAGGGCAATATCAACACTATTCAGGATGCACATGACTATATTGAAATGATAATGCTAACTAAACAGACTAAGTTGAAGGAAGAGAGGGAGCAGAGTTTAGCTAAATGTAGAGAACATCAAGCTCAAGTTAAATCAGAAAAACAAGCTGCTGAAATTAGGATTAAGGATATTCAAGAAACCATTATTGCAAACCAGGCTTCACTAAGACTGAAAGAAAATTCAACAACAAACAGTGACACCCAGAATACAGTGAGATATGATGGATATATTGTAGTTAAGGTTATGTTACATAATCATAAATCAGTGTATGTTGAGTTAAAAAAGAATGATGTTGTTGAGAATTTGTTTAACAAATTAGAAACTATGGTGGGAAGAAAAGGAATTCAACTAGAAACTTTTAACGGTTATAAAACCATACAAAGAGACAACAAAGACTTTGAAAATAATTACGGGAAAAGAGTTTTTCTTAAGGAAATTTAATAAATAAAATTTTTTTATTAACCGTTTAATATAAAAATGATCTTTAAAGAAATAAGGGAAACAGAATGTGAAAACTGTCAATTAGGATTGGATATAAACTCAAACTGCTTGTTGGATTTAAAACCTTTTAATTATTCAACATGTGAAGATTTAGTCAACAAGGATTCTAATAACAATGAACAGGTCTTTGATTCTTTAATCGATTTATTTAATGATTATAAAAGTTCCACTAATCAAAAATTTAAAAAGATCAATAAATAAGTTTAAAAAAATTAATTTAATTATTGTTACCAAATTGACAGTGCATTCTATAATGTTGAAGCATATTATCTTTTCGACTAAATCTCCTGTCGCACCCTCTATTTCTGCATTTAAAAGGTTTAATATCAGTATGTGTTATATAGTGTCTTTTCATTCTCCCCATTGTAGGAAACGGTTTTTTACAAATTTCCACAGGACATACGTATTCTTGTCCATTAAATGTATTTGAAAAAATATTATCGTTAAAATCATTATAACTCTTGACAAATTTTGATTCTTCATCAACATCAATTTTAATTTGATCTGATGTTCTAAAATTTTTTTTGTTCCTTAACCTTACCCTTGATTTGAAATCTTTAACCTTTTCATGGTCTTCAATAAGTTTGAAAGCTGGAAATAAAAACTTAGATTCTGCTAACCTACCAGCTTTTAGTTCATAGAACTGGTATTTAAAGTGTTCCCATAAAATTTGGTCTTCGGGTTCATATATAACCGATTTTAGTTCCTCACAGGAAGAATTATCATAAAAATACTGTGATTCAGATAGTACATCACTCTCACTATAACCACCTTCACTCCGACTGTTCATGTTATAAATTTCTCCTTTTTTGTATTTGTTTTTTATCATGGGGGTTCCTTTTTTTAAGATTTATAAATAAAAAATAAATTGTTTTAGGTATTAAACAGATAGATATTTATTTATTAAATAAACAAATTTTCTAATTTTGTATAATTGATCATGATTTTACATATTAACACTATTAAATTTATATTTTATTTTGATTGAAAGATTGTTATTAAAGCTTTTTATTTTATAAAAATTTTAAAGAGTTTTTAATAAAAATTAACCGTTTATTAAATGATCTTCTTTAAAGTACAATCATTTGTTAAAGATTATAAATCAGCTGATGATGTTAGGGAAATTATAAATGAGTTAGAAAAGAACAAATCTACTATTAAGATTGTTGATTTAAGTGATAATAATTACTATCCAGAGGCTTTTAAAGCAATTATGAATACAATTAAAGGGTTAAATAGATTAGAAACTATTAAAATTGATAGTATTTGTGGAGGACTAGATAAAGATATGATAGCAGAGAATATAAAGTCTTTGTATGAACCGGTTGTAGGTAGGATAAAATCAATTGATTTAAATTCAAATGCTTTATCAGCTAATTTTCCAGAAGAATTGTGTAAATTGATTGAAGATTCACCAATTGAACATTTAGATCTTAGAAATTGTGGACTGGGAAATGATGGAATTGAAAGAATTGAGAAATGTTTAATTAATAAGAAAAAACTTTCTTATTTGTCTTTAGCAAAGAATGGAGCAAATTATTTTAGTGAATCTTTTGGTGAAACAATATCAAAGTTAACTAATTTAAAAACTTTAAATCTTGGAAGTAATTACATTCAGACAGACATGTCATTCCTTTTTGATTTATTTAGTAAGTTAAATTTAAAGTCACTTGATATATCAGGATTTATGATAGATGATGATATAAAGTTAAAAGAGTATATACATTCATCAACCCTTGATAGTTTGGCTGCTCGTGATATTAAATCAAGTGATTCAGAAGTTATCTATAAACTTTTAGAATTCTTAAGTAGTAAACCAGAAGTTAAGTATATGCCTGGATCATTACAAGATAAAGAAGAGTTATATCTAGATATTTCATTTAATTATTTATCAGATGAAGAGGAAGGAAGGGCTTATAATAATTTAATTAAAGTAGCTAAAAGGTATTCGTTAACAAAACTATTGATTTATGGTTGTGATATTATTGATGAAAGAGAAGATTTTTCTGAATTAAAATCTCTAATAAAAGGAGAACTTGTATTAGAAAAACCTAAACCAGTTGATCTTAAAGATGTTACTTCATTAGCTAAGGATGTAAAAGAGTTATTATAAATTTATTTGGAGTTTTGTTTTCTAGTTTGTTTCAGTATTTTTTATTTAAAGAATTCAATTGTTTTGGATTAAACAAGCACATGGTGTCAATTAATTTTAGTGAATTAGAAGTTATTTCAAGAATAAATGAATATGAAAGAGATCTCTTTTTTAGTAAATTAGAAGGTAAATTTGATAGATTCATTAATTTTATAGATAGCAATATTTACATTCTAGAAGAAAATAATTTAAATGAGTTAATTATAAACGAGATACTTATTTTGAGAAGAATTATTAACAGATTTAATAAGAACTCAGGGTTTATATTTCCAAGTGATTATAAAAAGTATATAAATGATCAATTAAAGAGAGTTGGGGAGAAACTGTTTGAGATAGAATATTCTAAATTGATAAATTTTAGAACATATGAAAACGTAGATAGAATTACTTATTTACTAACTAAGTTATTTCCAATTAAATTAGTAAAAGAATATTTAATAGAAAGTAAGTATCCTAATGATGTAACTAAGATAAGAGAAGAGAAAAATAGAGTTGAATTCTTTAGATATGAAATGTTTAATAATATGAAAAACGACATTCCTCTTACTGATGAAATATTCTCAGATGAATACTCTTATAAAAAGATTAAGGTTGAATCAATGTCAGAAATTAATATTGATAATACAGAAGATAATTTGTTTGTTATAAGATACAAAAGAAGAATATTTAAATTTAAAAAGTTTCATATTTATGTCGATTCGGATATTGAGATTGGTGATCATAATAAAAATTTTAGATTCGTTAATTTTAACATAATTAAAGTAGATAAGAGGCTTTCTTATAAAATAGAAACTACAAAAGAATTTGATATGTTAAGATCTTTTTATAAATATAAGTTAAAAGAAGAAATCAATTCAGCAAATGAATTAGTTGTTGTTAATTCTCTAAACTCAAATAACTTACCAACTAACTTATCAGATAAAAATTGGTTATACTTGTCAGTGTCATTGGGATCACTAGGGACTTTCTTTCTTAACTTTAATAAAGCTCATAACTCGGGTGTTTTATTTATGTTTGTATCAATCCTATTTGGATTGTATTCAATATTTTTAAGGTTAGATAATAATTCTTTGCACATTTCAGGTGATTTTTCTGAAATGCCTGTATTACTGATGGGAATTTTCCTTTTAACACTTTTAGTGATATTCTACTCTCAGTTCTAAATAAATTTATTTAAAAGTTTTATTGAATTCCAATAACAATCACAGTTAATTCAATTATAGAAACTACAAATAAATACTTCCTGGAACTTATTAAATCATGTGTTCCATATTCATTTATCTTATTACTAACTAAATCTTGTAAGTGATTATAAATTGATCTACTAATGAAAAAGAAATAACAAACAAACAGATAGACAATGATTAGGTAGTAAACATACCTGTAAATTATTAGTGATGACAGCTTAATTATACACATAGGCACAAATCTATATCCACAGAAACATAAAATATCCAATACACCTATTGAGAATCCTAACAAATAAAATAAAAGTTTATACAAACCAACTAATATTAATATAACCGTTATGTTTTTTGATGATGACACAAACAGTTTTTCTGGTTTAAACAATCCTTTAATACCTAAATCAAGTGAAGATAAAAGTATAAAAGTCATGAAACTAACTATTGGAATGTATAAATCTTGTTTGTATAGAAATTCTGAGGAGCTATAGAATGGGTAACAGATTAGAATTAATTTATCAAGTACAAGTGAATCGTTTATATTAAAAAACTCTTTGATCTCACTTATTTTCTCTTTAATCATTCCTTTGTTATCTTTTACATATTTGTCTGAATTCTCTTTGATGAATGATGTTCCTATGCTTGAAATAAATTTAGTTGTATCGTTATTCATATTTATGGGTTTATAATTTGTTTCTTTTTACCAACAAAAATATTTTTGTAAAAACTTATTAAATATTAAGACTGATGTATATAAGTTGATTAAATTTAAATCTTATTAAAGTTTTAATAAAACTAGATTTATTATAAAACATTTAGCTATTAATTTTATAAATAGATATTTATAAATAAAATTTTAAGATAAAAACTATAAATATAAACTTTGTTTGTTAAAAGAAACAAATTTATTTTTAATATAAATAAAATAATGCATGATTGATAATGTAAAGTAAATTTAAAAACATTGTGTTGTTGTAATGCTTTTGTTTAAGAAAGTTAATAAAAAGTTTTAAGAAAATTATAACAAATTATTAGAACTAAAAGGTCTCAATCAAACTACTATTCAAGCAATGACTTAATTATATAAACACACAAAATTTTTATTATTTTATAGTGATTTTTAACGTATTAAATCAATTTATAATTATTCAAATTTGAATCATTCATTTTATAGTTTATTGATTAATTTAACGAGTTAAAATTAATTTATAAAAAATATATTTATTTAAACTAGATAACACCTTTAAGTAATTATCTTCTTGTAATGTTCTTAATTAAACATTTATTTTAACAAAAAATTAAAAATCTCTATTATTTTTATTTAGATTAAAAATTTATCCCTTTATTTTTTAAAATGGCTGAAAAACATATAACAGAATTTAATAACCAATCATTAAAAAACATACAAATATGTCAAGAAAGAGAGTTTTTTAAGAAGCCAAGTTGTGATTATAGAAGTTTAATCAAAATACTTTTATTATTTTTGATATCAATTCTTATAATTACTTTATTTTTACATGAAAAAATATTTTTAAATGCAAATAAAATGAATAATAAAACTCTAAAGTTTGCTATAGAAAAAAGAATTAAAGAAGATAAGCTGGAAGAAAGTTTTAAAAATTACATAGAAAATATCACAGATGAAGATATAAACTTAATTAAAGATTCTTTTACAACACTAAAGATGGATTTAAAAAGAACACCCTATAAAGTAGGAGATGTAAGAGACGAAGACACTAAAATAAAACTTTATAAATTCTACATGAATTTAAGTATAAAAGTGTTTGA